TGGATACTTCTCATATTTTGCATGTGTAATTCCTCTATTCTGCAAGTTGCACTGTTTACCAGTTATGGACACAGTTCAAAGTACAAATGATCCTCATTTAACGACCACTTGTTCGGCAACTGTTAAAATTTAGGATAGGCTGAACAGTAGTTACAACTGGATCTTGAATTTATGGTTGTTGCAACATCCCATAGTCACCTGTTCACAATTTGTGACCTTCCTTGCCAGCTTTTCACAAGCGAAGTCAATGGGGAATTCAGCGGGAAGTTCTTGTTTAACAACCTTGGCTGTCCTTTAACAACAGCAACCAGGACTGCCAGGATAGTTATCCCTAAGTATTGTAGTCACATGGTTTTTCGACATACCACCATATTGCTAGTGTTTTTAAATGAGGACTATTTTTATTGAGTTACTGCTGGTAACAATTCAAGTATTGAAGGTATTTAATTGTTCCATATAAAGGCTTTCATGAATTAGGACCTGGATACTGATGAAACCATCTCCCCAGCTACTGCTGCCTATTCAATAAGATCCGGCAAAATTGATTTGTTGGTGGTACCTTCTATCAAGCAATGTCATTTTGTGGGAATTAGGAAATTATTATTACTACACCTGCTTTACAGGCCAGCATCACACCCCTACCCCCACAAGCCCATGTGGCCCTGCCCCTGTTATGTAGACAACAATCTGGCTCTTTAAATAAGCCCTCAGGCAGAGTAGATCCATTTCCTGGACTGATTAATTCCATTTATTTAGAGGGATCATGAGTTGCTCTGTCAAACTAATGCATTATCTAAAAGAGTAGTCAACCCAACCACCAAGGCTTGATAGAATAACCCAGTTTTCACTATTTTCTTTTTCAAAATGATAAAGAAGCCATTTGAATATTCCCCTATTCTAGACAAAGAAAGCTGCAACTGAAAAGACCTGTTTCCATGTCCCATGTAGATGACAGTCTCTAATTGAGGAGAGGCATTGAGGGCCTGCCTGCCAAAATGTAGCAAATAGGTATTATCAGGGGAAAAATGTATGAGTTAGTAAATCTTGTTTTATTTTACCAACGTGCAGAGAGTTTACAATTTATTATTGTATTACTGTTTTTTAACCTTTTTATGTACTTTCCTTGGAGTTGCTTTCCCAATTAAGGCAGGAGGTAAATTGAATAATTTTTATTTATTAATTATGCTGTTTTTCATGGTATCCAATATCACTAAGGGAAATGCTAGCCCTGATTAGAATACTTAATTGCCTCTGCGACGTGTCATGCAGTTCTTAAAGCCGCCATGTCCTTTGTTCAGCATCTAAATTTTATTTAACGCTGGGATGAGCACGCCAAAGGGTTGGAGGGAAAGGGCTTGTAAGGTTTGCCCTTTCCCCTGTTTTTGTTATGATTTGAAACCTTCGTTGCCCAAGGATATGGGATCATATCCTTCTGACATTGTATGTATATTCAGGGACAATTTCTTAATCTTTTTCAGGTTTCATTACAGTCCTGACATTTCTCTTAGTGTTCTCCTTTTTTGGAATCCATCTGCAAATTCTAAATTAAGTATTGACACACAGATTAATGGCAACCATGTATCACCCATTTTTATTTTTACTTGCTTATTAACCTACACCAAGATGTACCCAAAGAGAAAGAACCCAGTTCCGCTGAAGAAAGTAGCAAGAAGCAAAGAAAAGCTGAAGTAAAATTATAAGCACAGTTGCACTTCCATGATTTTCACTTTATTTAACAACCAAATTGCCAGAACTATTTTTGGTTGCTGAATGAAGAATATCTGTATACTCTTTAATATACTCTGTAATAAAATGAGTCAGGTCATTCATGTTAGAAGGAACGTGTGGGTTGGGAAGCATAGCTATTTCCTACACCAAAGCAGCTTCAGATTATACTGTTCCACTGAGATCTGTAATGCTTTTATGGGAAGTCATATTGGCCACACATGACCCATGCCTGTTAGTAGAGCAGTATGCAGAAACAGCCCTCTAGCTTGTGCTGTTCCACAAGATTAGAATCAAATAACCACATTGACCATTATCTTTATTATGGTAATATGGAAAAGAGTTTATCTAACTTCTGTTTGGGTTATCCAGTTTTCCCATATCCACAGATTTTGGAGTACAATACTCCTTGACTTACAACCACAATTGAGCCCCAGGTTTATGTTGCTAATTGAGAGATTTGTTAAATGAGTTTTGCCCCATTTTATGACTTTTCTTGTCACATTAGTTAACTGAATCACTGAAGTTGTGAAGTTAGTAACACAGTTGTTAAGAGAATCTGGTTTCACTTAAATCTGGTTGACGTTGCTTGTCAGAAGTTTGCAAAAGGTCATCACATGATCCCACGGCAACTATCATAAATATGAATCAATTGTCATGCATCCAAATATAAATCACATGACCATGGAGATGATGTAATGGTTGTAAGTGTGAAAAATGTTTATAAGCAGAGGTGGTATTCAGCAGGTTCTGGCCAATTCTGGAGAACCGGTAGCAGAAATTTTGAGTAGTTCAGAGAACCGGCAAATACCACCTCTGACTGGCCCCGCCCGCATCTATTCTCTGCCTCCCGAGTCCCAGCTGATTGGCTGGGTCTTCTTTGGTTGCCCTGCACAGGAGAATGGAGCTGGAAAGCAGGTTAGTGGGGTGGGGAAGGAATGGCATTTTGTACTAACCTTCCCCCTGGGGTGGTGAGGGAATGGAGATTTTACAGTATCCTTCCCTTGGCACGCCCACCAAGCCACGCCCACAGAACCGGTAGTTAAAAAAATTTGAATCCCACCACTGGTTATAAGTCATTTTTTTCAGTGCAGTTATAACTTTGAACGGTCACTAAATGAACTGTTAAAGTATTAATATGAGGACTACTTGTAGTTACAGGAAGTAGTAAGGTGCAATTTTATTTCTCATAGAAGCCACAGTTTTATATTTCAATACAAAATACAGAATTAGACTTCGAGCAATCTTCTGGTTCATCATCAATTATCAAAATCAAGGTGGCCATATTCTTTTGTTTTGAATGCTTATTTCTATTGCATATTCTATAATTTGCATAACTTCTGTAAATTCTTTTGTTGACTTATCAAGTACTTGTCTGATACTATGTCTTAGTAATGCCCAGTGATTTGCGAATATTTGATTAGAATATGTCAGAAGTCTTTATACAAATAAATGCTACACTTTATACTCTCTAGACAAACAAATAATCTCGTTCACCTTCAGAACTTCAAGGACTTCAGAAATCTGTGGTATGGCCCAGTGGTAGTATTCATTTTTTTTTTACTACCAGTTCTGTGAGCGTGGCTTGGTGGGTATAGTGTGGCTTGGTGGGCATGGCAGGGGAAGGATATTGTAAAATCCCCATTCCCTCCTCACCCCACTAACCTGCTTTCCAGCTCCGTTCTCCTGTGCAAGGCACCAAAAGAAGACCCAGCCAATCAGCTGGGACTCGGGAGGCAGAGAATAGATGGGGGTGGGGCCAGTCAGAGGTGGTATTTGCCAGTTCTCCAAACAACTCAAAATTTCTGCTACTGGTTCTCTAGAACCTCTCAGAACTGGCTGAATACCACCTCAGGTAAGGCCTGTATGTTAGAACTAAATCAGAGATTGGTTCTCTGAATAATAAAAATCCTCACAAATACACTCACTTGTATTTTTAAACAAGTCAAAACAGGTTCCTTCCTACGCAAGAGGAAAGGCACGGTAAAATAAACATGTCTGAAGATGCGAGTTAAAAAGGAAAAGTTGGAGACTTGTCCTTTGTTGAACTGACTTGGTATTTTTGATACTATGTGTGACTGTGCATGGAGCTATGCGACCTCACAATTGTTGTGAGCTGAAGGATTCCGCACTGAAGGGCCAGGACCACTAAAGGAAGTTATGCATCTGGTTTGTTTGGTAATGAGAAATAGGAATGCGAGGTTTAATGTACTTCATAATAGGCAAACAGGACATTGTATGCCATCATCACAGGATGTCCTTCCTTCAAGGCAGCACATTAATATGGAAAGAAGGAAAAGAAATGGCAAGAACACATGCCTGTGTAATTATTACACACAAATACTTATTTCATTAGTGACACACTCTTTAAGTGATTGTGTCTATTACACATTTTAATAATGCAGATTTTCTTTCTGGACTACGTTAGCATTTGAACTACTCTCTACAAAAACACCTGCAGGGTAATGCTGTGTTGTTTCTTCTTTAACTGATGCTGTTTTAAAATAGTACAAAGGTAAGGCTGCAGCCCTGTGCTCACTTTCCCTTGAGTAAAAGTTCTATTAATCTGAATAAGGAGTGTAAAAAAAGAGGGGGGAGGATAATATCTGTGTTGTACAGAAAATTTTGGTGTTATTTTTAATTTAAAAGCTTATGACAGATCAAATTGCGTAACAGCCTTTTTTCTTTCTTTTCCTTTTTTCTACCTCAGTTATAAAGTCATTGACAGAAATTTAATTGGGTTTTTTGATGTTCCTGGAAAGTTTAGTTTAGAGATAGAAGTGGGGAACAGAGAAATAATGTTGTTCTGTTTTACACCTAATTCTTCATACTGGGTACATACACAGCATATAACCACCTTATATTATTTTTCACCAACAAATATTTCCCCTTCCCTTAGAAGATAATTCCAGTGCCACCAGCCTATTAATCAGCTTACGTGTTAATTGGAAAATCTGCATTGCTGTGATTTTCAGAAAGGAAAAAAATTCCTTCTGAGTGACTTGGATAATCAGGTATAGCCCCACCCCCTTCTCTTGACAGCTCTGAGTGTAAATCAGAAATGACTGGCTCATTGGAAACTTGCAGCAGGGAGGAGAAAGGAAGAGTCTGTTTCGCTAGTAGAGACTGAAACACTCAGCCCTCCAGTCTTTCAAAGGAGTTAAAGCCTAAGAACAGCAGCACCTGTGACAGGGAGAGAAAACTCGTGAATGAGAGGCCAGCCCAAGCAACAAGAGTTAAATCTCGAGGCATGAGTCAGTCTTACTTCCACGGACCAAGTGGAAGGCAGAGGAAATGTTTACTCTTTAGCTATGTGTGAGACTTACCTGAAACGCCAGGCTGCCAGCTGGAAGTATTTGTGGACTGTACCTTGGTAAGCAACTTTTTTTCAGATCGCACGAGAGGGTTTTTTGAATGAAACATAGCAAGAAGCACTGTGACAATGGCAAGCGTTTGTTTTCTTGAAAGTGCTCTTTCTAAGGTGCCTTAAAGTTCAAGGGACCTTTGTTTTTATGATGATTAATTCTTTCACTGCTACTAGCAACTGTCAGTTGAGTTTCACTATTATTTCGCTCTTCGCTCTCCTAGCGTGTTAAAGTGTGAAGCTTTTTTTTCATACGGTGCTAGAGTCTCTGGAATGGTCCTATCAGCATTTATCTGAAGAACTATTAAACCTGCCAGAGTTGAATTCTGTGAGAAAATACAGAATGAAGCAGGTTTGTGTTTTTTTTTAGGGGGGGGGGGGGGGTTGGCCTTTTTCAAAATATTTCTTTGAATTGGGAATATGACCTACTTGATCTCAGTCCAGAGGATTAGTAGTATAATTCTGGAGCTTCAGGTTTTTGTTATGGAAAATCTATAGTTTAATCCATTGTCTTTTTACTTGGGGGAAACAGAATGGTAAGTTAATTTGTTTTAATATGCAAATTATTTTGCTACTTCTACTATAGGAATAGTTGTAAATCTAAATGTTATAATTGCACTATAATAAATCTGTTCATATTTCTACCGTATAATAATACTACTGTCCTGTGTTTAAAGTGTGATATTTTTTCTAAAAAAAAGACAAATAATACTTTATGCAATAATAATATTTGAACATTGTAAGGTAGCCTTTAATATTGTACCTGAACCATAGATGAGGAACTGAGATGTCTTGTCTCTGAATTTTGTGACTGTGTATTTGAAATAGAAGCATTGTGGTTCATCTTGTAAGCCATGAGCTATTTTCAGCGTAGTTCAGTTGTATTTTACACACTTTTTGGAATATGTAAGAATATGTTAAGTGAGTAGTATTTCTAGTTACTTTGGATTGTTTCTGGAGTGGTAGCAACAGGATGCAGCCTTCCTCGGCTTTCTCTACCAGAGGATAAGAGGAAGTCAATACAGGGTAGGAAGGGGGGGAAATGTTGTTTTTAAAAGTTGTCCTTATGTTGGAAGTTGTGGGAAAGTTCAGTCTTCCTCATTTGGAAAAAGCAAGCCAGGTTCCGCTCTTCCAGCCTGCACTTTCCATTTTTAGCTCTTTCAGACGCAGACAGCAGTTCCTTCCTTTTCCTTTCCTTGTTTATGACACTTTCTTAGTGCAGTTTTCCAACAAGCTGTGTTGTGTAGAAGGTTTTTTTGCTTTCAGATCACACACCCCAATTCAGATAATAAAGAAACAATGTGAAAGAGGTATACGGTTTTTCTGCCCCCACCCCACTAGCTTCAGCTATTCAATATGGTGTGTCAAGGAAGTCAGCCCCAAAGTGCAACTCTTAACTGTCCTGCTCATGTTCTCAGTGTACTCCCAGATAGCCATTTAGATCTATTTGCCAGCAGTCTTGAAAACAGAATGACAAATGTGTACATATGTATTTTTTCCAGGCTGCCGCACAGTGTAGCCCATATATTGTGAATTCCAAGGGACAGAGCAAAGGGACAATATTGATAATGAAAATGGACATGAAGGATGCTGATATGACTCTATGGACAGAAGCTGAATTTGAAGACAAGTGTACCTACATTGTAAATGATCATCCGATAGAACCCAGCTCTGCAGAAGGTTGCACCATAACTCAGGCCGAATCATCTTTGCCAAGGAACTTGATTTTCAAATATGCAGGAAATTGCAAAGAGGTAAGAACAAGTTTACCAGGAATGATTACAACAACCTGAAATACCCTTTTGATTTCTGTTTGTTTTTGAAAGAGGCATTACCATTTTTTCTTTTTTTAAAGCATAGAAAGGGCTTGAAGAAATTTCTCCCTTTTAATATCATTGTATCATCCTTATTTTACTCCATCAAAAACAAACAAACACTTCATGACCTGTATTTCTATGTATCCTACATGTGCTGGTGTATATATGGAATTTGTGCGCATGATGTGGTTTAGCAGACTAGCGGCATTTCCAAACTTGTATCCCTGATCAGTTTAGAATTAGTTGTTTTGTATAGTCGTAAAACACATATATCTGTAAAACACAGGATATACATTGCTTATAAGTGACCCTTTTGTTCTGAAACAAAATTATGTCAGATCAGTGAAATCATTTAAATACCCTGCATTTAAATGGTTTGTTTATCTAGGACAGGAACTTTGTTGGTAGCTGGAGATACAGGTATACTTTAGTCCGTGTCTCTGGAGTGGGTGCATTCTTGGTTGTTGTTTCAGAAGGGCAGAGAATAAAAATCAGCCTAGATGAGCAATTGGTTGCCTGTTTATTCCTTCATATAGAGTAGCTATTATAGTTAGGCGTGATGTTCAGCCGGCTAATAATGGTAGGGCCAGCCCATCATTTTTTTTGTCCCTCTCCTGTGTCTTGTGGTGGAACAGCTATAACCTGTGTTGCTACTGTGGCTAAATAAACTGACCACAGGAGCTCATGGAAGGGTGTACGATCATTCCTTTCTAGTTATTAAAAAGATTCTTCTTAAAACAAACAGCATGGAAACTCTTGTATTCAAAAACAGGATCAAAACTTGAACTGATATAAAATGTAACTTATTAACATTATTCAGAAATTGGGTGGCAGCCTATTATCTCTGCGCGTTAATTCTTGGTGCTGCTCTTCTCTTATCTGAACTGAATGATAAGCTGGAACAACTGAAGTTTTCAGTATTCTCTATATATACTAGGCCCTTGAGTTAGGCAATAAAGATGTAATTCTTTGACTAATATATTCAGGATTTAGCTGATTGGCCTGAAAACCAACTAGCTAATATCCATTGTAAAACCCATTTTGTAATCTTAATCTTCTTGTTTCATTGCGGACAGTCTAAAAAAAATACTGCTTTGTTATAGGCTGCCAAACATTCATAATTTGTGAATCATTTTTTAAACCATTATATTGAATAATAGTTTAGGAAACTACAAAATGTATAGTTGTTTTTCATAAAATGTAATTCTGTGGATCTTTACAGAGAAGGTTACTGCTAGACAATATCTTTAACTTTTTTTTCCATTCTAGTTTCCTTTGCTATCTGAAAAATTGAAAGAAATTGCACTATTGTATCCTGTCCCATATACCATTTAAGATACAATATCTGTATGTTGTTCATAATATGCTAGCTCAGATTTAGCTGGCTTTGTAATTATTATATCAGTTCTGTGGTCAATTTGGCAGAATGTTGGGTTAATTTGTATTAGAGTTTGTGAACAATTTGGTAGGAGAGGGGAGAGAACCAGAATGCAGAACCCAATTATCTTGGTGTCCTAGATCTTGAACTATTTTCATTAATTCATAAACATAGATGCAATGAGAACATTTTATTATCATAGCATATTATGTTCATTGATAAACTTGGTTTTAGGGCATACTGCAAAATATTGTATGCCAAAAAATAATCTAAAGGAACTGCATCTTATATGTAGGCTTGAGGTTGTAGCTTTTGGCAGACAAAGGTCTTGCTATTTTTCAGGGATAGATTACTCAGACATGATCACATATAATGATGCAAGAAGTGAGCTGTTTTTATGGAGAAAAATATGCTTATGAAATGTTAATGCTGTCATTAAGAAACTGCATTTAGAGTAATATTCCTAGAGCCTACAGATACTCCTGTGTTTTTACATGCACCTGTGTGTGTCTTGTTTTTGTTTATTTCTCATTGCTTTGCTAATCCTGGAACTCCACCTTTTAATGAAAAGGCAAGACATGTCATATGGTTGACCTTTGTTGGGGATTACTTTATGGAACTGTTTTTCATTGTACGATTTCCATTAGTAAGCGTATGGGTATCTTAAAGCAGTTTTAGTTTTTAAAGTTCAAAGGTGTATCATTTATCTATGGACATTCATGATGTAGTATTTTTTATTTTTTTCAGTGTGGACAAGTAGAGTTTTCTTTTTGAATGGACACTCCTTTTAAATGAAACCCTCAAATTGGGTTCCTTTAAAATAATAGGCAATATTTTTTTAAAAAAACCTATCAGATTATTGAAAAAAAACCCTCAAATATCCACATATAAATGGACACAAATGGAATACACACTGGCCAGATAGAAAGATTGGTACCAGGGAAGTGTCCATTCTAGTGCAACCAATCACAGCAGAGGAGACCATGTCAAGCTGCTTTGGTAGAGATCTACAGAAGAATCTCCACTTTAATTTCTATATGGACTTGTGGCAAGAAAAACTTGCTTTTATGATAGCCTAGTCTCAGTTTTTTTAACAATTACAGATCAAAATCTTTTGATTTGAGAAAATATTTTTAAAGGGTGGTTGTGTTCCATAGAGCTGATTCCATGAAGTAATCTAGATGCTGTATTTTTGTACAAACTGGTACTTAGACCCACAAAAGATACTGCTCTTTATTAATTGCACTTGAAGAGAATTATACCTCAATATTTATTGGTTTGCTCTTTTAGAATTAAGCCACCCTTCCAGCCAATAAGATTATGGTAGTTCACAGAAAAATCAAACTAAACATTTAACCATATTGTACACTAACCCATTAAATAGATATTTATCACTTGAATATCTTGCAGATGTTGTTGCTATGTTCATGTAAGAAGGAAGCAACAGGAAAACATTATCTCTCACTCCACCCTTTTAAAAATGAATAAATTATAGGATGTAAGCTCTCTTCAGTGCATTATTCTCCCAGTGTGGTTGAAAACAAAAGAAATTGGGTATTATTCTAGACAAAAGCTTAAGTGAACAAGACATCATGGAAATAGGGAAGTGGAGGTTAAGCTAATAATTATTTCTCATAGACATCAATCCAGGTTCAGTTTATTTTTTTATTTATTATTACTTCGGAAGTTGATGCTCCATCACTGAAGGCTTTTAAGGAGAGACTGGACAGCCACTTGTCTGGAATGGTACAGGTCTCCTGCTTGAGCTATGGGGACTAGAAGACCTCCAAGGTCCCTTCCAATTCTGTTATTCTGTTGCTATTATTATTTGATGAAGTTATATGTGCTAGTGATATTAGTTAGTGCCCATTAAAAGAAATAATAGCTTGTGTCTTTTATCTACATTCAGCCTGTGTCTTATGAAGGGTCATTTTAATAAGTTAATAAGTACTTACATAAAATCTGCATGGGATGTATCAAGTGACAGACAAAATGTTACACAGAAAAGGTGCTGATGCCCAGAAAGAATCAAAAGAAGTGGCTTCTCTATACAGATAAAACATGAAAGCGGAAAGATATTTCAATAAAAATGTTTATATAAGTGATACAGTGGCTCTGTTCCAACAATTGGTGACCCTTTTTTTAAAGAGTTCCCTGTTAATTTATTTTTCTTTAATTCAGGAAGGCTAATAGCCTGTTCAGGATATCACTAATGTTCAGGAAAATTAATAGGATTAAGTTCCCTCTGTCAAATTCTAGTGTGCATTCCTATGAAGAAAAACAAAGGAACTGATTGTAAGACAATTAACAGGGTTCAGCCCAAAATCTGAAGTTTAAAGATCACACCAGAATAGCATAATATAGAAGCAATTCTGTGACTTTATACCTAAAGCACTAGTAACACATTAAAATTTAATGAATAAGAATGTATTATAATACTTGTAATCTTGCTTTTTAAAAAAAATAATGTAGAAACACTTTCCTGTGTCTTGTTTTCCAATAGTCCATTTTCAGCAGGCCAATTTTGAGGATTTTATATGAACAAGAAGCATAAGGGTCTTACCCTTCAGTGACACATTACTATACTTCATATTCTATGAGTAACATCCATATACTAATAGTAGAACTAGTAATTTTGTGAATTAAAGACTTTCTATAATTGTTATATCTTAAGAGGGGGGGAAGTCTGTCTAACAATTGTACTTATCATAGCACCAGGAGAAACTTTTCTATTCAGTTTTAAAATATAGGCATTACGTTCCTTTGTCATCAGAGTTTCTTTGTCAGAGATACTATTCAGAAGGTCTGCTGTCATTCCCATTAGTGGAGAATTTGTGGTGTTGGGGCAGCATTATTCCAAAGCAGATGTGTTTAAGGACACCTAGTGGGCAAATTTGAAATATCACTTTGTGTCTCTCAAAATTCAACAAGGCTTATTTTACATTCCTTTTTGATTTGTAGTTGTATTTTTTTAAGATGTGTATATTTTAACATTATGGTCACTTTTTTTAAAAAAATGCCATGCTACCACTTTAATGTGCCATTATGAAAATATAATGAAACTCAATTCCCTGATTTGTGGCTCAAAGCTGGATTTCTATAGAGTTTCTCTATACTATATCATATTATCTGGGAACGTCATAGTTAAATCCTGAAAATATAACTTTTGTGCAACCATTCTACAATAAATAATTTCTGGTAACTTAGCGTAGTATTTCATTCACACATTCAGAAAATTAATGTGCTCTTTAGAATAAATTTAAACGTAACATATAACTAACACTAAGAAAATAGCCACTAAGATCCTTTCTAGGGAGGATATTAATTCAAAAAAGGCTAGTTATATGTATGAGGAAACCTAAACAACTGCGGTTCCGGTGCATATATTCTCAACTCTGATTCCACTTACCTTTTCCTCCTCAAAGAATGTGATTCTTCCAGTGTACCCAATGCTTGATAATAGCTGTAATTTATTCAGGATGATACTTCATGCATCTAATGAGGTGTATATGAAAACTTTAGCATCCATTTATTTTTTAAGGTGCCAGAAGGCTATGTTTTGTTTTGTTTTTCTGCTACAGACTAACATGGCAGTTTTTATGGAAATGTAACGTTGGAATGAAAACCTGAGAGTTGCTAATTATGACAGATAATAGCAAGCAGCATTTCCCAGTTTTGCTCTCTCATTCTCCCCTTTCCTCTTAACTTGCAAATTGTAAAATTTTCATGTGGTGTTTAAAAAATATTTGGGAACCCTGTGCAATTTTTCTTAACCATTATCTGAATAGGAAACTTAGCCAAATGAAATCGCTGGAATTAACAAATATTACTCTACAGCTTGGTTAAATATTACAAACAGTCCCCTCTGTTGTTATTGTCCCTCATGCCATTAAACAAACCATTCCACTCCCCCCCCCCCATATATACCCAGCCCATCGTACACACACATACTTAATGAGGATAACTGACATATCATACTAAATTCTTACAAAGACCTTGCTCAAAATATTGTTTGGGCATGCTTTTTGAATTATTGTACAAAAATCCCCCAACTGTTTTCATTTGACAAATGCCACATCATAATGATTCTTAGACACTTTGAAAACTTCAGCATATGTTTAAATTAAAATGTAAGGGAGAGTGCATCTCTTATAACTATGAAAAGCAAAAACAGCCAGACTTCAGTATAATTCAGATAGTGGCTATAAACTTCTCTTGAAAGCTGTAACAGAATGTAAATGAAGTCAGATGGGGAAAAGCCAGAAAAACATCTGCCTTTTTCACCTCTATGAAAAATGCTTAAGAGTGGTAAAAATAAACACTACCATTAGGCATGTTCCTATTTGTTTCTACTTGTTTTTAAAAAACACACAACTGGTTTGAATTTGTTAAAGTTTAGGGGAAAATGTCAAGAATTGCTTCAGACTCATCAAAAAATTCATACCAAACCAAATCCTAGGTATTTGTGCTACTACTTTGTCAGTATTATTTTTTCTCTTGCAAATTTAAACTAGTTCAGCATCCATTCCTTTCTGCTACAAATAATACTGGAAGTTGTAGTTTTCTGTGAAGTTTCAACTCATTAGAAAACTGCAACTCCTAGGAAACTTTGAGAGTAGCTTATTTGGTACAATAGGGGGTTTCAAATTTTTCATGCTGTGGAACCTACTGTTTTGTATAAAAAAAAAATTCCTGCAAACTAATCAAATGATAAAGCTGTAGTGATAAGCTTCCAGTGATAAGAAAACTGGCTATATTCAAGTGAACCTTAGAGTCTAGAATCTTATACTAGAGCAAAGGGGTCAAACTCAAGGCCTGTGGGTCAGATCCGGCCCATGTGGTGCTTAAATCTGGCCTGCAGGGCTGCCCTGGAAACAGTGAAAGACCAGCCCGCAGTGCCTCTATCAGTAAAAATTTAACTCGGGACGGCACACACGGCCCTCCCAGGCTCCATTTTCAGCCGTGACAGCCTCCTGCAGACCTCTGCCAGTAAAAATGGATCTCAGGGGGCTGCGTGCAGCTCTCATGAGCTCTGTTTTTGGCCACAATGGCCTCCTGCAACCCTCTGCCAGTGAAAAACGGAGCCCCCTGAAACAGTCGCGGCTGAAAACAGAGCTTGGAGCCTGTTTTTACTGATAGAGCCCTTGGGCCTCTACAGATGCCCCCGACACAAGTGACATCAATCTGGCCAGGCCCACCCTCGCCACGGCCTCCTGGGGCCCCCAAGGTCAAACACAACCCTGATGTGGCGCTCAGTGAAATTGAGTTTGATACTGCTGTACTAGAGCTTTTAATTTTCATTTTTTCAGTACTGAGAAACTGCTCTGTTCAGGACTGACAAAATCTGATCAATTCAGAAGTGTTTATTGTAGATCCCACTAGGTAGATACATTTTTTTTTAATCTTCCAGATACTACATAGATGGAATGCTAATATGCTTTCTTCCAAAAGATGGACAGCAAAAACCAGATGTTTATAATGATGGGAATAAAAGTTAAATCTCACTCATACTCTAACTTGAATCAATAATCCTTCCCCTCCTAAACACAAGTAATATTATACTAGATATTAATGAAGTTCTACAATAAATATAAATTCAAGAAAAGGGAGGAGGTACTGTGGTGTTTTGGTTTAATTATTACCCTTATTTTCAAAGTTAAGTGCGATGGATCCATAATGCAGTTATATCTTTCTATTATTTTATTAGGTATAATGAAGCTAGTCAATAGTGTGAGAATAGCATGACTCATTAGCTTGAACATGAATGTTTACTAAGTCTGTGGAGCAAACGTCTTCTTTTCATCCCCGACTTTCCATTTAAGTTACAGACATCAGTTTCAAAAAGTCCTTATTCATGGTTCCTGGTTTACAAAGTTACTCTGTTGTTTATATAATATTCAAAGCAAATTAAAATTTAGCGGACTTAGTGGAGGAGGCGAGAGGAAGGGAGGAAATCCCCAGTATGTAACAAGATACTCAAATAGTCCATGATATAATTAGTGGCAAAGAGGAACTTCAACAGCCAATATATTTTACACTGTAAAGCTGTGGGTCCTTGGTTAAATCCACAATAAGCATTTGAGAGATTTCATGTGTGGTTGTCCCTTAATAAGTACTATTTCAGATAATAATATACATCTGTCTCCCTGTATAGGATAGAAAAGTACAATGATTCTAGTAAGGTACAAACAGTTTCAACTTAAAAACATTCATCTAGCAACCATTTGAAGGCACAATAGCACTGAAAAAAGTGACTTACACTTAAGACACTTAAGATTTCAGCAAGGCATTCGACAAAGTAGACCACAACCTACTTCTTAGTAAGCTAGAAAAAAGTGGAATAGATAGCACCACCACTAGATGGACTCGCAACTGGCTGGCAAACTGTACTCAACTAGTAGTCCTTAATAGGTCTAAGTCTACATGGAGGAAAGTAAGCAGTGGGGTGCCACAAGGTTCTGTCTTAGGCCCAGTACTCTTCAATATCTTCATTAACGACTTAGATGAGGGAATAGAAGGGGAACTTACCAAATTTGCAGGTGATACTAAGCTGGCAGGAATAGCTAACACCCAAGAAGATAGGCTCAAGATCCAGATGGATCTTGACAGACTAGAACACTGGGCCATATCTAACAAAATGAAATTCAATGTAGAAAAAAGTAAAGTCCTACACTTAGGCAAGAAAAACCAGAGGTACACATATAGACTGGGTGAAACCAGGCTTAATAGCAGTAACTGTGAGAGGGATCTTGGAGTCTTAGTGGACAACCAGCTAAATATGAGCCAGCAGTGTGCAGCAGCAGCCAAAAAAGCTAATGCAATCCTAATTTGTATTAACAGAGGGATACAATCAAGATCAAGGGAAGTACTAATACCACTCTATAAAGCCTTAGTAAGACCACACCTAGAATACTGCATCCAGTTTTGTTCACCACATTATAAAAAAGATGTTGAGACTCTAGAAAAAGTACAGAGAAGAGCAACCAGAATGATTAGGGGACTGGAGGCTAAAACATACAATGAACGGTTGCAGGAACTGGGCTTGGCTAGTCTAGTAAAGAGAAGGACCAGGGGAGACATGATAGCAGTCTTCCAATATTTGAGGGGCTGCCACAGGGAGGAAGGCGTCAAGCTATTTTCTAAAGCACCTGTAGACCAGACAAGGAATAATGGATGGAAACTGAACAAGAAGAGATTTAACCTGGAAATAAAGAGAAATTTTCTTTAAAGTGAGAACAATCAACCAATGGAACAGCTTGCCCTCGGAAGTTGTGAGAGCACCATCACTTGAGACTTTCAAGAAGAGATTGGACTGCCGCTTGGGCGGGGGGTTGGACTAGATGACCTACAAGATCCCTTCCAACTCTGATTATCTGTTAAGACCATCACCACATTCCCCGCAGTCACATGATCAAAATTTGGATTCTTGGCATGTATTTATGACAGCTGGGGCAAACACCCTTTGCATGCAAACACCCTTTGCAACCCAGCAAGTAAAGTCAATGGGGGGAACAGGATACATCTAATGACTGCATGATTCACTTAACAGCTGAATTTTGATCAGATGACTGTGGGGATGCTGCAACAGTTGTAAGTGTGAAAAAGGGTCATAAGTCATTTTTTTCAGTGCTACTGTTACCTTGAATGGATGGTTGTAAGTTGAGGACAACCTATACAAACCTTGCTTTAAATATATTGCTCTCAAAATGTGTCTTTCATGACATGTGTATTCCTGCCAAACACCTCTGGCAAGCCTCATCCAAAATGCCATGTGCTGTCCACACTTATCTGGCCAGTTGCATTAAGGTTTTCTCCCTTTAGTGGAGTCAGGGCACAATATCTTGGCTTCAGTCACTAAATGATGTGCATTAAACAAGAACTAGAACTCACGGTTTCCCAGTTTCTAGACCACTAGACCAAACTGGCTTTATGGTGCATTTTTCAAAGTAAATTTATTGTAATTTAGTTATGTGATAATGAATTACAACTAAATTGTATACTGCTATATCTAAATATCTGCACGAAAACAGATCAAATTAATCTTTATGAACATTATTCATATTTTAAGTACTTCCTTCTACAACAGCAAGTGTCAACTCATCGCTGAAATATTCTAAATACAGAAGAAGAGAACATATGTGGTTCATACAGTGAATAGACAAACAATATTATAACCACAGTATTTTATACCAGTGTATTGTTTTAAACTATGTGTTTTTCAGTGCATTTATTCTGAACATAATCCAACTCCTTTTCGTTCAGGTTATTGGAGTTATTAGCAAAGATATTATCCCCAAAGGAACACGCTTTGGACCATTGGTTGGTGAAATCTATACCAGTGACACCGTTCCTAAGGATGCAAACAGAAAATATTTCTGGAGGGTAAGCAAGGAAAATAACTTCATATAAAAGTATTTTAAAATATTAAATGTGTTATCAGTGAAACAGTATTGTCATTATTTGAACTGCATGAGCTAAATGATGAATTAGTAATAAAGCCCTATGATATGACTATAATCCCATTCTTAGGAGAATAGAACAGCCAATAGTAATCCTTTTGCATCTTGGTTACTTCAACCCACCAACTTTCAGACCAACATTGGGTATAATATATAATAGAGCAGTTTCTCTCAGATATCCTCCTCTAAAACCTGAGGGTTACTGCCAAAATCAGGAGATTAATCTCACAAATGTGATGCTATTCCTTCTGCCCACAGGATGGAGGAAATTTAAGATAAATACTTCAATTAGTGCTTATAGTAACTGAGTTACTACAGTTTTAACTAACACAATGAAGAGAACACATCTTTTTGATTACTCATTCCACAAGGCAGGTACATGAATTAAAAAAAAAAACCTAGGTTGTTGATATTATGAGAATTTTTGCTAGTTGATCATTTTTTGCTAAATCCTGTATGTCTTATGCATACCTGTATCATAATAAAACTTAGGAAAGAGGACATCTCACAGCTTCAATTCTTCATTTGGTTGAATCCATATGGTTGCTGTAAGAGAACACACAATATGATATAGGATTTGTTTTTTTCTAATGCTATGCTAACTAAAGATCCAGTTTGGTCTAGTGGTCAAGGCACCAGGCTAGAAACTAAGTGACCATGCGTCCTACTCCCACCTTATCGCCATTCAATAATTTAAGTTAAATAAATTTCTTGTACCCTTGAAGTATAAATATTGGATGAGATAAGATGAACTAAATTTGTCATAAAGTATGAGATTTGGAAGGAAGAAGACTTGGTTACTTGGACATGATACATTGTATCATTTGCTTTTTCTTCAGCAATTTCAATTATAACTTAACCCCTTATATAGGGAGGAATGCTGTATTCATTATTTATTTACATCCTGCCTTTATTAATTTTTGATAAACAAATCAAGGCAGGAACATATCTAATATGCCTGCTAGTTTCTAGCCTGGTGCCTTGACCACTAGACCAAACTAGATCTCTAATTAGCATAGCATTAGGGGAAAAAACAAATCCTCTATTATATTAATTGTGTATTCTCTTACAGCAGGGATGTCAAACTCCCGGCCTGTAGGCCACGCCCACGCTCAGTTTAGCGAAGAGGGGGAAAAGTCCTGATATGTGATGCCACTGTGACAACGTGAGTTTGACACCCCTGTCTTACAGCAACTGTAGGGGAAGAACCAATTTTGTTTCCCAAATGAAGAATTGAAGCTGTGAGATTTCATCTTGCCTAAGTTTTATTATGGTATAGGTATGCATAAGACATCTAGCTCAGGATTCAGCAAAAAATAATCAACTGTGGGTATGCCTCAGTGACTGCTAGCTTCATTCCAATACTGCATTACAAAAACAGAATAACCGAGATGAAAGCTTGCAACTTAAGGCCATGTCATCTTTGCTTCCTTCTGTAAGTTATCCATTTGGAAGACAGTGTAGAAACATTTATTTTGGTCATTTGTTCTCATTCACTTTTAGTTGCTCAATAAGGCAGATGTGTCATCAGTCTAGATATAGTTGATTTTCTTAATTGACTCTTTATATTGATAGTTTTTCAAATTCTTATCATGGAAGAAAAATAAACATGCTCTTCTTCAGCTTAATTGTTGGGGAAGAGAACAACCTGGGCCCTCTGGATGTAACAGACTCTGATTTATTTGATCCATTTTGGCTGGCAACAATGGGGACTTAAGTCTCATACATCTGCAGAGAAACAGATTAGGAAAGCCTGCAGTTGAGCTCTGCAATTATTCAGCAACTCTTGGAAAAGAATTCTGACTACCTAACAGGATGTGACACAACATCACACACGTTACACACATTACAGTACTTGCATTTTGAAAAATCTTGCTAAGTACTGGAGTTGAATCTTCTGATTCAGTGCCTGGGATTCTTAGAAAAGGTTATTTCCTCAGTGCCTGAAAACAGCCCTGTAGATGCAAAGGAAACTGGAAGATAATTTCCAGCATGTCATGTGAAAAGACATGTCTGGGAAGAAAAGAAACATCTTATTTGGGTTCCATAAAAATTGTATACCTTTTAGAAAGAAAAAGAATGAATATGTTGTGCAAGCGCCAAGGTGATGTCATTTCTTGTAATTGTGGCAGTATGACTCAGCACATTTTACCCTTGTTTGATTCATGATGATTAGATGAGGCAGCAGAATAAAGTTTTATAGCAGTCTCACTGCACAGCATGTGAGTAGTGATGAAGCATATAATAAATTATGTTAGCTTTGGAATGTGACTGGAAAACCTTTCATTTAAATTTGAAAAATGGGGTCTTCCCTGTAACGTCGGTGCATATCACTGGAACTGCTGAGTTCCTGGAAGTTTGCAAATTGGAGCTAGCAAGCTTTTTTTTTTAGAGAGAGAGAGAGAGCATAATTCTTGAGTCTTTGTTCCATCTTTCTCATAACAAAAACACCGCAAAATCTCAGGCTTCTTTGATGAGGCTACATGTATTTCCTCAGCCTCAAATGACAGGAAGTAAGAAAGTGATTCTGGTGTTTACTGTGTGTGTTAAAAGGCCAGCTTTGTTGCTACTTCGTCTTTTTTTAATGACTTCTCGGTATATTCTTACATCAAACAACATTCAAACAAAAATGCCTATTAAAAAAAACACAGAAGGAACTGGAGCAGTTTTTACATTTTGACAAGAGCAAACCTAAACTCAAGTCCTTTCTTAGCCATGACATTTCAACTGAGTGTCCTTCTGTAAATCACCTGATTAATTTACCTCAGGTTTAACAGTTGAGGTAAAAATGAAACCAGAAGTATATATTTGCCATTTGCCCAAAGCCCATGGGAACAAGACAAAAAAGAGTGAAGTATTTCTCAATGGAAATATATAAAAACTTTTTTGGTTCCAGTTAATAATCTCCCCCTCCCCCAGTGGTAACTTTCAAATAATTACTTCAGAGAGCAACAGTTATTCAGTGTATGGTTTAAGTTTCAACAGGACCCGTTCATTTTCATAATCTTAGAGGCACTTTGAAAAGAAGCATGCCTCAAATTGCATTATTTGTCCTGTCACCTTCTGTGAAATTATATTTTCCTAACATTCTTATTTAGAGAAGAAAGCATTTCACTTAATTATTAGATCAGTCTTGCCTCCATATTTCCTTACCGTATTTACCGTAGTATAATTCACTTTACATCACCCAGTTTTTGTACAAAAGGGCTGCCTTCTAAATATGATCTGGTGCTATTTTAGAACTTGTGGGGTGAGGGTGTATCTGAATAAATCTGATGCTTCTTAAATCTGTAGTGATGGTGGGAAATCGTAAAGAGAAAGGCAGAAGAGATAAGAAAAATATTTGACTAGAACATAATTAAGTGAATTGGCTTTGCAACATTGACTCCTAGCATCTATACAAAGACATATTCAACTTTAAGTGAATACTTTTTTTGACAAGACTTAGGTAGCATTTTAAATCAGAAACATTGAATATTTACAGACTTTAATTGAAAACTCTGCAACAAAACTAAGCAATAACTACAAAAGGATAAAAAAGCATTTAATTAGGACCAAATTCTATTTGGGATGTTTTGTTTCCTATATTTATGATAATATTATATAAATAGGAAGAGGATTTTTTAAAACCAATAATATATTTAACTGTCATTAAGGCTTTGTCATTTCTATATTCCTGTAGATCTATTCTGGTGATGAATTTCTCCATTTCATTGATGGATTTAATGAAGAAAAAAGCAACTGGATGCGTTATGTGAATCCAGCCCACTCAGTTCAGGAACAGAACTTGGCTGCATGTCAGAACGGCATGAACATCTACTTCTACACCATCAAGCCTATTCCTCCTGGCCAGGAATTGCTTATCTGGTATTGTCAGGACTTTGCCGATAGATTGCATTATCCTTCCACTGGAGACCTGGTGATGTTGAATAGTAAGTAATTTAGATTTACTCCCTTGTAAAAAAAATATCTTTTGTCACTGGAATGTTGATCATGGGTATGAATCATCATATGAATGATGAACCTCGGGCTTCAAAAATGATTGCAGGAGAAGACATCTTAAACAGGAAACATTTTTTTCTTAATTAAAAACAACACAGCTCAGCATAACCCCATTTAGGGAGACAAAAATGTAGCTATACTGTTAGCTGAACATCCTGTTATGAGGCTGTTTCAGAACTTAATCTGAACGTTCATGTGCTGTTGTTAAGATTATGTTATACTAAAAAGCCTAGCCAGGTGAGGAGAGGAAAACCCAACTTTATGATAAAGCCACAGGTGAAAATGAGAAAGAAAAGAATGCCATTCCAAAATCTGGATGGTAGGAATTCAAATTCCTGGGGAGGTTTATCATTATTAAGACTGGTAGTTTTTCATAATTTTCGTGGTTGGTTTATTTGCTCAGAAAATCACCTAGTGTTTGAAGGAACTGATACAATATTTTAATGAAAAAACAGTGCTTTCACTTCACATCACACTTTGTAATCTCTTGAATTCACATCCATCTGTATTTTTATGTTAGTTATTGCTTTATATCACAAAATTTTATAAATTGCTGTCCTAACAAAAAAAACACCCAATATTTTCATGTATTTACAAAGATAGCTAGATTGCCAGATAGATAGATAGATAGATAGATAGATAGATAGATAGATAGATAGATAGATAGATAGA